GCCGCGGGGGGACGGGGCCCGGGAGGGCTGGAGGCCTTGCCTTGTGGGGAGCCGCCTGCCGCGGGGCCCGTCTGAGCTTGCTTAGTGAGGGCTTTTCTTTGCCGTCTCTGGTCTAGGATCTGCGCCCACGAAGGCTTTTCTGGATCCCTACCTCGTTAAATATTTTTTTTTTCTTTCTTTCCCAAACTGAAAGTCTTTAATGATTTAAACCTTCAGAAACTTAGGGAGTTTTGTGTTTTATTGTGACACTGCTATATAACTCGGTAGGGCGTTTCTGAGATGTGCAGTACTTTAACGAGAATTTTCCAAAATTTGTCTTTTTAAACTCCAGCAAATCTGTAGTTGACAATTTTTTTAAAAAACGAAACTTCCGGTATTAAACTGAACTTTATACTGTATTTGCGAGAAAGCAAGACTTAACTTCTGTAATTCAGTAGTTTTAAGAAAAACTTTTTTTTTTCAGCCGGGACTGCTGCAAACGTTTATCAGTTCCTGAAAGAAAGCTGTAACTCATCTATAAATGCCGATATGAGCGCATTCCCAGGTAAATATAGTAATGTACGGTAAGGTAGGGCAAATCTTGTCAAGGAATTGGCCTGGGCACGTTTTATGATCTAGGTGAAACAAGTGAGAAGCTTCAGGAAACCCAGCTTCTGTGGTGTGCCTAAACCTGCAGGTGGGACTACTGCTGCTGCTGTTTCTGTGGAGAACTGATGTCCATTTCAGCAGCTGAGGTGTTAGGAGGTGATTAAATAGATTGGACAGAAGAAATGAAAAACAAGGGTTTTTGAAAAGTTGACAAATTTCAATCCAACTTAGCAAGGAAGGGTAGGAAAGGGCTTGTTTCTCATGTCAGTAGGCAGCTTGATATTTTTGTTACTCCTATGATGTCTTCTAATTTTTTCAGTGGAAGCAACATTTGTCTGTTGGATATCAATTCAGAACCTTAATCTATGAATATTTATTAAATAATTTTATCATCTAAAAATAGATTTCTGAAGATCTGCTTTAGTACTTTTAAGGGTTGGGTGTTTGGTTTTATTTGTTAAAAATGCTTTCTGAGTTCTTTACTTGATTTGAATATCTAATGTTGAACTATTAAGGCTTATCTTGTCACAGCTGTCGTATAATTGTGATTCTTGTGGGGAAACCACTGTTAAAACTCATGAAGGTGGGAATGTTAAACTGTTTTCAACTTCTGTGTTTTTTATTGCATAGAAGTGTTGAGAGAGTATCTCAGCTTGTGAACTGCATAAACGATATTTATGAAAGTTGCAATGTAGTTCGGGTACGATACAACTTCTGCGAATAGAGAGCAATATTGCCCAGAATGGAGAAGAGATCAAAGATTTTCTTACTAACAGTCAGAGGATCAGTAATAGTTAGACACTTGTCAAGACACTTACCTAGACCTTAATATGTTTCGAACTTAATTATGATGCCAAAGGAAAGTAGAACTCAAGTCATTGTGGCACATTAAATGACTCATGTAGACTATTTCAACAGAGATGTTCGTTATAATAGGAAGAATAGATCGTAATGGATTGATTATTCTAAATAATTGTTTTATCTCTTTGCAGCATGTTCAGTGGCTGGTATTCCTGGTGTAAAGAAATGGTATTTTGCAAGTCATGTTATATGCAGTTATTATCAGGTAATACATAATTTTTTTCAGAATGTAAGGTCCTCAGCTGTCTGCTTGTTTTTAGTGCAGGTTAAAACTGTGATGTTCAAAATTCTTTTTGCTTAATTAATTCTTTTTGGTTGATTAGTTCTGCAGTTCTGACTGGGAGGAAATAAATTTTGACACACAGAAAAATGAAGGCTCTCTCCAAACAAGTATTGACGAATGCCTGGGAGCCATACAAAATTTTGAGGAAGACGACAGTAACAGTAGAGAATCACTGTCTATGACTGAGTATGCATAATATTATTTTTATTGAAAGTATAGTGATCTGACGTTTAACAATAATAACCCAAGGGAATCAAGAAAAATTAACAAGTAAAATGTTATTACCAAAGCAACAGATAACTATGAACAATCCCCTACTACTACTGAAAATAATTTCATTTCGTTTAATATAGCTTTCATTTTTTTAGCTACAGATCATTTTTATAGGATAACCAAAGAGTTTCCTAACAACTGACGGTTGTATATACAAGAAGTTTTTGCTAATCTGTCTTGAATCCTACTTCCAGTTTTACTGTAGATTGTTTTGAAGTCATTTAGCCTACTTCTGCCTCAGTAAAAGGGGGGATAAGTGTAGCTCATTGCCTAGGTATGTTTGTGCAGAATTTTAAGATGTAAGATACTTACATCAGGTAGTATTCATTAGTTGTAACTTTTTGTTTCTAAATGACTTTGTTTATATTTTGTTTCTAACCATGTTCCCCTTCATTTTCAGTATCTATGATGAAGCTGCCGAAAGTCTGCATCAGTTAGCTGATAAACTGCCTGCCCCGGGTAATCTTTCTTAAAAAAGCAATCTCATTTGAATTTATCTTGTTAGTTATTACTCTAAAAACTCAGCTAGTAAAATGATAGTCAAATGGAAAAATTCAGAGGATGTTAGTTTGTTAGGTGAATTAACTTGTATACAGCTCTTGCAAGTACTCTAAGGAACTTGAGCATGATTGGCATTGCAAATCAGCTTACAGAGTAGTTTGCAGCTTGTTTCTTTGTCAGGCTATATTTTGATAGACTGTACGGTAGCTATTTATATAATCAAGTTTTCCATCTGAAATGGCACCAAAGTAGTAATAGACAGTAAACAATACAAAACTCAACATACAACCACAGGAAGTTTTTATGAAAAAGATGGAAGGTGTTGACATCAGGCTTACATCTGATTTGCCAGTTGATTGCTTGTGGGTGAGAGCAAAGCAGCTGTGAAGGAACATAGATCAGAACTATTGGATTCAGATTTTGTAAACTGGAGATGCACATCACCTTACATGTTAGGGTTACATAATGTTGCAGTAGTAAGCTGTGAAGGAACATAACTATTGGATTCAGATTTTGTATGCATCACCTTGCATGTTAGGGTTACATAATGTTGCAGTAGTTGATTTGGGATAGCAAAGGAACTGAATGCGGAAAGAATGACAAATAACAGTTACGAGATGTTAAAAGGAGGAAAATGACATGGTGTAGTTATACTGGAGACAACTGATCTGTCAAATACAGTGCTGAGTGAGAGAGGAGAAGGGTATATAACCGTTGTAACTGGGCAAAAGGCAAAATATTTTGTGTTAATCTAAGAAGAGCAGCAAGAGATGAACTAAAATGCGTGAAAAGTGTTTTAAATCTTGCTGAAGTTACTTGAAGTTAAGCCCATTTTAGTGCAGTCAGTGATAATCATTACTTTTCTGTCTTTAAATGACTGAATAATTTACTGAATAATGGTACTTTGAGTCATATATAACTGTTTTTATAGGCAAAGCAATGGTTGATGTAATACTGCAGGCTGTTGAACGAGATGGACCCAAGTTGAAAGACTGCTTACCTGTTATCGGTGCCCTGAAACACCTGAGAGAATGGCACTCTGCACAAATCACTATTGCAGCAAGTGACTCTAAAGGGTATGCCATTTATTTTAGGTCTATAAACAAGATCACTCTTGTTTTGTGTTAGTGTGTGTCCGTGATTTAAAATAAAAACAGTGTCTTGAGTACTTCACATGTGTACTTTGAAAATACATAGATTTATCTTCTATTATTGATTGAGGGGAGGAATTACTCATGCTGATTTAGTGTAAATACATGCTCTAACCAGAGGGGCTGGCAAAACAGCAAGTCTTCTGAAGTTCCTGTTTCTATGAGAGCAGAAGGTAAAATATTTTCTCTTTCTTTTCCATCACTAGTGGCTTCAGTGTGCATACGATGTTTTGAAGTTGTACTATGCTACATGGTAACTTGTATTGATTGTAGTTTTCTAATTTTTGTAAAATGAATACATAACTGCTGGTTTTACTTTAAATTTTATATTACCTTTGGTATTACGTTTCAGAGAGAAAAAAAAGTGTCTGATTTGTCCCTTTTGAAAATGGAGTGTAAATGCTCAATTACTTCCTGTATGCTTCTGAAGAGTCTTAACACTGAAACTATTGATTCAATTTGAAATTAAGTCCAGTAATTTCCTTACCGTCCTCCTCTAATTGACATAAGTAGGCTGTAATATTTCTCAGTAGAAACCACAGTGGTTTAGTTGTTTTTTCCTGTGCAGTAGATTATTGTGTGGCTATTGAATAACTTGGCATGGTCTCTTTCACTTGCCCTGCCCTCCATGCCCAAAAGATTCAGATTTGCTTTGTAGGATATGTGGTTAAACTTAATCTTAAGTTAATAAAACTGTTTAAAATTAAAAAGCTGAATGCTCAGTCAGTGAATAGAATAAGCAATATACATACTATGTAGTACTTCCTAAGGTATATGGAGGAAGATAAACTTCCTGCAGTGACTTCCATGAGTGCTTGATCTCAGTGCTCACTGGTACCTTCCTGTGCAGGCAGCTGTTGACAGAATAAATTTTTCTACTGCCTTTATGTAAAATAAGGCCATTTGGACATACAGTTTCTCTGATGAAAGTTCTTTCACTTACTCTTCCTGTTCTATTGATGATGCTGCCTTCTCTTAGAAGACAGCCTGCCAGTAGGACCCACAGATACTGGCTGTTCTGTCTCTCTGTTGTTCAATTTGGGTCATATTTGTGCTGCAGTCATATCTTTACTTACAAGGCTAACTACAAACCATCTAGGTGGGCCAGTGATAGCCCCACTGGTGGCTACCTCGCTTTACTCCAGCTTCTAGCACCCAACCTTACTATGGTATGCCTGCAGCTTGCCATTGTTGATCTTATTTCATGTCTGGCAAAGTTCTTTGCTGTCATGTTCATGGAGCATATGAACAACTTCCTTTACAGAACCTGAACCAGCAATTCTGTAATATTTTTTACTTTGTGGAATATAAAGCTATATATATCTGTCTTAACATACGCAAGACTATTCCGTACTAAGAAGTAGTAGGTAAATTCAGACAAATTGCACTGCATGTTAATTTGTAATATTAAATTTGGTAAGATTAATTCTTCCTCATTTTTACAGTAGCTGGCAAAAGATTGCAGACTATCTATCAGCAGACTTTGTATCTTCAGATAATGTCATGAATATTATTGATTTAAAAGAACTCTGGAGAGGAAAGATTCAGATATGGGAAAGAAAGGTAAAATAACTTTTTTCAGCTCTGATTTTTTTTTAAAGCATCTGTGTACCTCATTTAAAGCATGTATTGTACAGTGCATTTTGTGCTTTAAGCCAAATTTGGTTTTGACAATGTAATTCAAAGGGGCAATGTGCAACGGATCTGGGTGAGTGAGGAAACAACTTGCTTTTTAGTATGATAAAAGGATAAATGAGATCAAGACATCAAGATCTGAATTTCAGAAATCCAGATGCTCTCCTCTGAAATACTTGCCTTAGAACTTCTTATTCAAAATTTAATGTTTTATATCTATCAGAAGTCATTATTATGTAACTCTCTAAGTCGTTGTTGCAAGTGCATGTCTAATGGTTCGCAAAGACTGATAACTTTGTGATAACTTCACTGATTGTGAAAGACATTGTTTACATTTTCAGTATTAAGATTTTGAATATAGTAGTTGGTTATCTCAGTCTAATATTTTTACCTAGTTTTACATATCTGATGGAAACAAATATACTACTAATTGTTTAAAATAGTAATACATCTAACTGGCTGAAGAGACAGAATTTTTCTCTCTTTTGACACATTTATTGTTTGTTCCCCCCCCCCCTAGTTTGGATCAGAAGTTAGATTTCCAGAATTTTGTATGAAGAGCACTTCAGCAAAGACATTCAGCACTTCACATTTAAGTTCTTGCTTCCATGTTAAAAAAGAGCGACAATTGAGGAATACTGATACTTTCCCAGAGGCAAGTATTATTCTTGATCTTTCTTTGAGCCACTAGAATTCATCTGGTTTGCTTCCCTGAGAAAATTAGTAATTTGGGAAACCTTAGTCAGAATTGAAAATTAAACATAACAGTAACCCTTGCCTAAGAATGAGGAATACTTCTGTTCATGTGCATTCTCAGAACAGGTCCTTAAAATTTAATCTGTTCTTAAGAATGCGATAGCAAAATTTTTTTCAAGTAGAAATTGAGACTTTGTCCGATCTTAATACTCAAAATATGTAATTTAGTTATGAATTCTCTACTTACCTAACCTTTTCTACTTAATTTTAAAAGTTTGTTGGTTTGGCTTTGTTTTGTTTTTTAATTATTGTTGCTGTTTCATGTTTTCCACTGGAAGTAGATGCTTGATGGGAACTCCAGGATCATGTTTGTTGATGAAAATAAAAATGAGTGTTTAGGAAAACCAATATCAGTTAAGATATTATTATTTTCTTTGTTAAAACATGTACATTTTGGGTTGCATTCATCTGTTCCTGGTAGATGTTACTTTTTTAATTTGGATAAGAGTTACAACCCACTTGATGCGTGTGGTTGACATTCTAGAAAGTAACTTTTATTGAACAGAATTAAATACCTTCCTTGTTTTTTATATAATTATGTTTAGTATGATATTGTGAAATGTTTTTATCTTTATATTCCTTTATACCTCTTCCAGATGTACTTCTAAGGCAAATGCCTCCAGCAAAACACCTGAGGAAGTTCTACTGAGAAAACAGCATATATAGTGTTACTGATTTTTTTATTTGATCTCTTTTCAGGTTTTTCATTACTATGGTCCTGCCCTAGAATTTTTACAGATGGTGGTGCTCTCTGATCTACCTTCTTTTTTTATATCGGATCTGGAATTCGAACTGTATCCTTTTTTAGGCATCTAAACTGCTACTGATAATGGTCTATAGCAGAAAGAAATCAATCAGGATCTACCTATGCAAGCAACACATGAGGATTGACAAGGGCTCATTCTGTCCTAGCCTGCCAAAATAGTCATAGTGATTCTTCACAACTGGATTTTTTAATGTTGAGATTTAAATAACACTAACAATAACCAGCTATTTTTTATATTATTGCACATATACTTTGTTGATGTGTATGCTATTTGTGGGGAAAGAATAGAGAAATATTTACTGCTGTGTAAGTTTAAAAAAAAACACCCAAGCCTTACTCATTTGTGCTTCAGAATATAGAAACATTTTTCCACAAATCATGTTTTTAATGTGTAGGTGCAAAATCTGTGGCAAGGTATAGCAGAAGAGTTTTCTCTATGGGTTGTGTATGCTACAGAGATCTCATGGTGTATTCCTGTTGGTTTTAAATTTATGTACTTTTGGTACTAGTCTTGGTGTAACAATAGTAGCTTAGGCTGTATATGCCTGCCAGGATTTTGAATATATAAATATCTGTTTATACCTGCCTATATTAAAGATGTTGGTAGTGTATTTCATCATATAACATTTCCAAGTGTACTGCTTTGCCTGGAAAGGCGAGTTTCATATATTTTATTTCATATATATGTGCTTTCTTATATTTGTGGTATCAAATATTAGACACTTGCAGTCCTTATTTGAAATATGATGGTAACATGATTTGTAAAGTAGAGGTGCATACAGTTCTTTGTGAAGATGAGATTCCTTAAACTGTTCTGTTCAGGAGCCTGGCAAGAAAGAGTATCAAGGAGACATCTGCGCTGCTTTTGGACCAGATCTCTTCTCTCTCTGGGAAGGTAAAACCTTCTTTTTATTTAAATACAGCAGAAAAATGAATAGAGATATGTTGCTCATAAACGATACAAGAATAATATTTTTAAACCTAGTCTCGCTGTAAGGTCCTTCAATATTTAATTCTAAAGCAAATTTGGCTTTTAAAGGTGCATACTATACAGTCCTGACAATTTGGAAGCCCACTGAATGTTTTTCTCTTTACCTTAGCTAAGTTTCGATTTCCTAAAACATTTTGTAACTTTTAATCCTATCCTGACAGATAATTTCTGTGCTATCATAATGCAACTGTTTTACCAAAAAGAAAAGGCAGGCATGTGTGCAGCCTACAAAATGTATCTAGCTAGTCTGAAGTGGTAAGCTTTTTTGTTTTGCATGTGCATATTCTGCTTTTCCATTCTGATTTTGGATAAAAACAGTTAAAAGGGTTCTTGAAACATTTACAAGCCTACTTCCCCCCCACACCTTGGAATGATAGTGTGATTATTCATAGCCACAGTATTATTTTGAAGATGTTTTTCCTGAATGTTTAAGGTGATGTATGCTTGTTTAGGAAATTTGATTTTAGTGTTTATAAAATAAATCTATGCTAATCAAAACAGAACCTGCAATATGAAAATGCTGATACAGTTACAACAAATAACTGAAGTTCTTTATTTACTGTGGAGATAGTATTCCATTATCAGGCTGTTAAATTTCATTTTCAGCTTGTTATTTAGGTTTTCAGTAACTTTTTTTCCTCCCCTGCCATTCCATTTTCCATTATGCTTAGCCAGAAGAGAGAGAAGTCCTTTTTTAATGCTGTACCAAAAATATCTTTTGGAATGATTTTATATTGGTAAATATCCCAGGTGATTTTCACTTTACAGGAGGGTACTGAACATTTCTTTTACAACCTAAGAGCTTGCATTTCTACTAGTTCTTTTAAATAAAAAGCCGAAGCAGTTAAAACACATTCTCAGGCTACTTTTTAGAGTCTGCACATGTTGATTTGAATGTGTTTTCAAGATAACAGTTTCTTGTATGTATTTCTTTTTCAATCTACTACTGGAAATATTGTGCATTTACAGGCTTTTCTAATAGCTGTAAAAGCATTGTTTTATTGCTTGAGTATTCAAATATTTATGCATTTTTTCTATTAGTGCCTATTGGCTTGAAATTTACGTACAGACATAAACATAGTCCAGTATCTGATTAATTAAAAAGGGAAATACGTAGGGAGGAAAAAAATTATATGTTTTTCAAAGGAATGCAGAGTTGCTGATGCCAACTATATATTTGAATTCTATTTTCATTCTGGATACTTCTCTACAGAAGCGTTTTTAGCCAGATTGTTGAAAGACTTGTAACAGGTACCAAATACCTTTTTATGTATGAAGTAGAAATTCAGCAGTTAACAATCTCTCAACTGGGGTGAAAATAAGCACATTTTTTTACAGCTTCTGTGTCAAATGCTGTTCCATTTAAATTGATGTGAATGTCGGAAGTGTTAAGTAAAGATGTTTTTCTTCAATTGAAGTACATTTGAAATAATGTCAAATCAGTAGCTCAAGAATGAAATGTGAAACAGATTTCAGTAATACTGCATATGTTGTATTTACTCTCATTTAGGTTGGAGCTTTATTTACATTGCCATGTAATGTAAGCAGTGTAGTGATCCCATCCCCTGCCCAGCTGAGTACCAAGAAATGGAAGGAATATATGGCTAGGAGACCCAAGGTCATAAATGGTAGGTAAAAGGAAGATGACTACAGGTGTATTTTGTTGTGGGTATATGTATATGCGTATCTGTATGGTGGATTTTTTCTATATATTTGGGGTGTCCTTTTTTTTCTCCAATGAAATTAGGTCAGTGATTGTAATCTTCATTACAAAAGCTTTTGGTGAATGTCAGTTCAGCTACACAAACTTGTTGTAGAGGAAAATTGATAACAACATTGTGGCAAGCTTTAGGGAGACAGTGCATCTCCTTTAAACCATTTCTGTGTCTATCTGTCAGCTAGGATCCAGCTTTCACACACCTTTCTAAGGTGGTTGTACTATCCATGGGCAAAGAGGTTTGCTTCTGCAGATGGAAATCCTGTGTGCTTCACTTAGGTGCTTCCCTTCTCGCTTAAGCATTTCCAGAGGTTCTTCAGTGCACTTGTATTTAATTTCAACCTCTTCCTGCGAAAATACAGAACATCAGGAAATGCTGGATGCCTCCATTCACCTGAGAGCCAGTGTGCTTAACTTGTGATTGAGAATGCACCTCTTCGTCCTTATGGGGCTATACTGATGGCAGCCGACTCCTCTTATGCAGTGTGCCAATGCTTAGAAATTCTATCCAGAATGTGAGAGAACAGGATCAGTGCCGATCAAGACTGGGTGGAGTTTCTCAGTCAGGCAGTATATATGCCCTGCGAGTGGAGGCACTGTACAAGTAGTGACTGTGAGGTTTGTAGGGACTTGAAAATATCAGACTAAAAGGAGTTTGGTGATAGCCCAGTGCCTAAAGCACTTATCTAGGACAGGATCAGATGTAGGATTCTGCCTTCTTATGTGATTTTGTTGTTTATACAGTGGTCTAATATATAATTCATGCAGATTCCAAGGAACAATGACTTCTGTTGCCAACTGAAGATGGTGTTTGTAAACAAGTATGCAGATGAGGATGGCTGACAGACTGATATTCTTTCAGGTTTTGGGACAGGCAAAAAATTGAGAGGAATTAGGAAGAGTTGTATAACAGGGCAAGAAGCTGAATTCTATGGCGTGGGTGCTGGCAGTATATAGATTTAAAATGATCTCTGCATGTTTGGAGGTGGTGGAGCAGAGAGGATGTGATTATAGAGCTGATGATGGCAGTAGCATTTATACTGTCTTGGAGAGATACTAGTGATGCAGTCAAATGAGCACAAGATTGCCGGTGCCTGCATGATCTTCTTTGTCCTGTGCTCCAGAGGAAGGGTTTTGTATAAGTATTAACTATAATGTGATCAGTAATACACAGTATGTTCTTATTAGGCCTCTTGAGCAAAATTTAGAAGAGGAGGAGAAACATGGCCATTTAAACATATTTGCTCATTTAGTTGAAAACTGTTTTTTTTTAGTGACTACCACTAATCTGACTATTTTAAGGATTTACAAATCCTTAGTCTCTTCAATCTGTGGGGAGGTGTAATTCTTTGAATTGGTAGTTATCATATATTAAGATTAAAATGAGAAATAAATCTTTTCCATGAGGAATCAGCTTTGAGATGCCAAGAGAAACTGGGAAAGTAAAATATTTCAAATGACATGGGGAATGGGCAATAGGACAATAGTGAAAATGTCTCTGGAATCTTTTTTTCTTTCTTCTTTCCCTGGATCTATATATTGAGGTAGTGGGTTTTCCCCTCTCTTCACTTTGCCCTGCAACTTAAACTTTTCAAGGAACACTGGAATACAGTACTGCAAATATCTTAACAAAATTAAGTGATTTGACTTTCAAAACTTAGTACATGAAGAAGTATTCATTCTCTCGATTGCTACATCTACTGTACTGATGTACTTTGTAGCCTGCGTTAGAAAGCTGTCCCTTGCTTCAACCACAGGCGTTCAGTGCTGGTAACGTGCTAGCTTTAAGCCAGCGGTGTAGTCCAACTCATCTCTGCTCCTGTAGCTCGCTTATTTTGCATGCTTTTCAGTTGTAGCTTTTTAAGGGATAAATATCAGCTGTAGTTAGTGTGTCTCCTAAAAAGATGTTAGTAAGATTTCTCACGGAACAGAGTAGAGCGAGTGAAAGAATTTTGATGGTGGATTATAGCTTGTTTTAAACCTGTTTTCCTGAGGGTGTTTCACAGTTATGTCCGGATGTTTTTTAAGTTCCAGAAATTGAACTGAAAGGAGAATCTTGCCGATATTATTTCCTGCTACAAGGCAATGGCTCTGGAGGATGTAAAGCAACGTTGATTCATTCAGCTAGCCAGATCAATGGTACGGCCACTCTTGCTGCAGTAAATGGAAAGCTAAAGACAAAAGCAGAAGAAACAGAGTCAAGTAAGAGTTATTGCGTCCTTATTTAAGAGTATCTGAACGCAGCAAATGCTACTAAAATTTATATATGCCCTTTATTCATCCCAGTCTGTGTTAAAAATGAGAAAACAAGGAGGAATGTTACATTTTGATGAATATATCTATTCTTTCAGCAATATTTTTTCAAATTGATAAAAAAATTTAATAAGATCTTATTTATTCACACAATTTACTACTGCCATTTTTTTTAAATCAACTAAGTAAACTTGCAGTCAGTTGTTTCTCATAACTGTGATTAGTTGTAAATCTTTTAATGTTCAGGGACCTCCAGGTAATATTAATGCAAATCAAATTTGCAAAAACCTTAAAGTTTAAAAAGTGTGTGTTGCTGGTGTAAAGACTGACCAGCCCATGGCTAAAATCTAGGCAATTATCTGTTGGCAAGCCTGTTTCACTGGTGATTTAAAATAAAACCTGCAAGGCCAGCAGGCAAGTTGAATGTCATGATCATGTCTTCAGTTACTTTGCAGATGTCCATATTACTGCAGAGTGGTTAGGCTATGAGCTAGCACTCATATCATAGTGGCTCCACTAGGTAAGAGCGTGTACATAGACATTTATCTTAGAGTAGTTGTCCTGTTGCAATTACACATACTAGACAGCCCTGCTAATTCATGTTTGCTCTCAGTAACACTGACAAAGAAAAAGAGCACAGTGACCTGTATCTTACCTACTTACTTCCTTATTATCAAAATAAATCTGTGTGCGATATGACTGACTGCTGACCATTTGTCGTAATTAAAATCCCATTATTACGGTGTCAGAAGACTGAAAGTCCTTGACCATATGTTGGGAGAAAACTTTTCTTTCCTGGTATCAAACTTACGATCTTTTTACCTTCTTTAAATGTCAGTCATGTTAATTGTGTTGTCATTATATTGGTTTTGTACAGAAATTCAAAAATACTGGTCAGACATCTATTCTAAGTTATCCCCCTGGTGTTCAACTGTAATTAATTTCCTTTCCTTTTTTTTTTTTTTAAATGATTAACCATATTTGTAAGTCTGATTGTTTCATTTGTATATGAAATTTGTATGTCTGCTGTGTTTGTATCTTCTTTCAAGAAGTAATTATTTGGTGTCTCTGAAGTCCTGTGAGAGAATCTTAATTAATAAATTTCTCCTAATCTGTACAGGCTTTCATATTGCTGACTTTGTCAAGTCTCTGCCACATTTTTGTGGAGAGGAGATTGTACAGAGAGAAAGGAAACTGTCTCATCTCCAAGTGTTTGCCTTGAAGGAATATCTCAGTAAGTAACGGGGAGAGCACTCGTAGTTCTCAAACTAGTATTTAAAAGGTCTTTATTTCAAACTGAATGTGACGGTTCACCTTACAAAACCAAGGTGAGTTGATCACTTTGTGAAGAAAAAAGTGGCTTTAAAAAGAAACTTTTTGTAGTATATTCGTAATTGTATGTCAGATAATGACTTTTAAATATTGAGGAAAAGAGAATGCTGAACTTTATTTAAAGTTGGTGAGTGTTTGTTACACTAATACTCTGAATGTTTGAGCATAGTTTTGGAATAAATCTGTGGTAATTAACTTTTTCTCTGCTTTGGTTTTTTGTATGCTTTTTTCCCTCAAAAGCCCTTACTGCTGGATGTGCCTTCTACAAAAAAAAGAACTCTGTTTTGGGTTTTTTAGAGGGTTTTTTTATCTTATTCCTTCATGTAAAAGTCTTAAACAGCAGAGGAGAAGTATGCATTGAAGATTCGTTACATTTATCATGATCCATCATTCATAATAATAACTGAGAGATCATCCTCTGTCAGTTTTCGTGACTTTGCAGAGAAGTACGTTTGACTGTCCTGATTTTTTCTGTCTAAGTCCATTGCTGAAAGAGACTCAATTAAAACAAAAAATGCTTCTGAGAGATTGGCTAGATTATTGAAAATGGCATACTGTGAAGATAATTTCAGTGTATTATCATTAACAGACTAGCAGCTTAAGGAAAATAGGAATCCTGCTAATAGTCTTGTCTTCCACCCCCCATCCCCACCAACTTGCAGTCGTTCTCAGACTCCTGTCTGTTTTAGCCCTGAGCTTGGGACTGCTTTAGAGCTTGTGTTTTAGTTTTGAGTGGGTCACCCATTTCCATTAGGATGAAGACTGAGTAGGAGCAGTTGGGATTTGCTAGGCATCCTAAATCATACCAGAATTACCTGACCCTTGATATCCTGACCAAAGAGACTGGAACAGGCTGTCAGTTGTGTTGGAGCCACACTCCTGCAACAGCAGTAAAAATAGGTGGGTAGGAGGCTTTGCAGACTGGAGCTTTTCATGTTTAGGCTCGGCAAGTCCAAATGTTTATCTCTGAGGGATTCAAACCTGAATATACTCAGAAATGCACATATACAGAAATTAAAGGACTGTAAAAAGGTGATTCGTATGTGATTTCATCTATTCTCACTACTAAGTTCTTTTCACTTGCCTATGAAATAAATCACCCATAGCTTGCCTAAGGGTAGAATGGTACGTGTCAAGTTAACTGACTTGTTCTTTTGGGGTGGGGATTTTCTTTGGTTGGTTTTTAGCAGGCTCCAGTTAATCTTTGTTACTTAGCAGGTGCAGTAGCTTTTCTTTCTCTTTCCTTTTATAGAGAGAAAGGAATTGACTGAGCAACCTCCAGTTATTTCTACTACTGAGTTAAAAAACTTGTTAGAACTTACAAGAGAATGTTTCTTGGACCTGTGCAACACTAGTCTTCCTAAACTTGTTCTACAGAACGTTGCCAATAAAACTAGGTCACGCACTGTGGTTTCTGGTAAGAATTGTTATTTAGAAAATACACTGTGTATTCTCTTCTGATGTATTTTCATACCTGTTGTCATTTTTTTACTGGAAGAAGGAGAGTCTTTTACCAAAAGAGGGAAAAATAGAAGGAAAAGTAAAGTAGCTTTCTAGGCTTTTTTTTTACAAACTGAAATTACTTTCACATTAACTATTTCCTTTCTTTTCCTTGACAAAAAAAATTATGCAGAAAACATTTCTGATCACAGTATCAGGCAGATTTTCCTTATATTTATATACTTTTAAATATATAAAAAATATATATAAAGGAGATTATATACATATGTATGTTTCTTTAAAGAATAAATTTCTTTATTTCTGTTAAAGGTTATCCACTATATATTTCTTGCAGAATCTGATTTAATGGAGCCAAATCCATTGGAGTGGCCAGAAAGACATATTCTTCAGAATTTGGAAAACTTTGAAAAAAACAAACAAAAAATGAGGTAATGGTTAAATACTGGAGATTTTCTTTGTAGTAGCCATTGAACATCTCTCTAGAGGAACTGTTAGCGAAAAGTAACATAGTTCCAAAACTAAATTACCAAAAAATGGCACTGCTAGAAAACAGTAGCCATAGTAGAAAAACATAGAGAAGTGGTGGGTGTTTTTTTTTTTCCTTTCTCCAGCGTGCCCTGGGGCACAAATAATAAAGATAGTAGAGCAGTTTTTGTTAGTTTGTACAATGTTTCTAATCTCCTTGTATTTCCTAAATAGTCAGTTGTTAGTACCAGGTCTCGAGTAATTTTAAAGTAGAAGATCCTATTGGTTTTATGTTTGAAATTTGTATTTAGTTTTGTTTTTCCTTCAGTACTGTTTAAGTGAAACCTGTAGACCTTTGTGTCACTTAATACAGCCTCTTGATTTCAGTTTAGCTCTCACTTTGTATAAGATTTAATGATCTTTGCTGGATGTTAACAGTTTTGCCGACAGACCTTTAGAGCCAGGTGACCAACTGCCTTTGCCTCTTCCTTAGTCATTTCTGTCCTGTTTCTGTCTTTCAAATATCATAGTTGGCTATGACCTAGATTGGAGTTCTGCGTGTCAGAAATACTCACGTTCGTTCTCTGCTTTCTCATGGGCATTACTATTATTATTGGCTTTTGTTTCTCAAACAGGAGAATTTCTTCCTTCTAATTAGCTTTTGAAAAGCTTTCTGAAGGACCTTTCTGTTTCATAGTCAGTTAATGTTTATTTCATTGTATTCTGAACTGGTTAGTCTTCTACTTGTCCTGAATCAGTGTACAGCATGTTGCTTCGCACTTTGGCTATACTTGATTGAGGACACTAGAAAAATAATGGAGTGGAGAGTTGCATACAGTAGTGGCTTTATGATTCCTTTGCTGCATATTGTATGTCTCTTTTTTTTTTTTTTTTAAACAGGAATGAAATTTTCATTCTACAGGTCCATAAATAGAAAAAAGGGTTGAATAATATTCTTCCCAAGTTGTTTTTCATAACTAAGCTCTCAAATCTTGAAGAAACTGCGTTCTTCAGTAGGATGGTAGAGAATTTGCATCAAATATACTTTATCATGAACATATGTGTAAATGTTTTCAAGGAGCAACCTTGTCCATTTTACTTTGGAAATACATTTTATTGCTCTAGACTAGCAGTTGTTTTTTGTTTGTTTGTTTGTTTTTTAATACAAGAAGATTACTACATTGAAAAGAAAAAAAAAATCTTAGAATGGTCGTCTTTTTTTTTTTTTTTCTCCAGAGCTTCTGTATTTGCACATTCATCTGAGCAATTGCTGGGGCATAAAGATAGCCAGCGCGAGTCGTTGACATTGCTCGATGCTAAAGAATTACTGAAATATTTCACACCAGAGGGGCTACCGGTTGGTGATCTTCAGCCACTACAAATTCCCAAACGGTATGAATCCAGCATATTAAAACCACTGAAGACCGTACTCAAAACTGATGTAAGGGAGTGTGAATAATGACCAAATGAGAGTCTCAGAATGGCCTTACTGGATTTGAGTTTGTAACTTGCAACCTCCTCGCATCACATGCCTGCCAGTGAAATCAACTGTTACGGCTCTCCAGTCAGTCTTGCTATTTAGTTCTTTCAGAATCTGAAATGGCTGCAGATGATGATATTGGTCTTATGCATTTAAATAACAGAATAATCACCTGATGTGCAAAAGTGTGCCAGTAGACCTTTGCCATGGCTGTGCTACAAGCTGCCGCCACCGTACGTGTCCATTTCCAAAAGAGTGTTTCTAGCAAAGCAGAAGTTACTGTGGCAGGAGTTTTAATTTTATTGGTGTGATTTCTTCCATTCAGTGGAGGGGAGACTGGGTGGGAAAACAGAGTGTAAAACAGGCAATAGCTGAGCCTATTTAACTGTGTTTGTCTCATGTCGTGATGGCCCAGCATTCCTATCTATATTCTTCTGTGGTAAAGCACTCCTTAAAGGAAGCTTGTCTACTCTGACTGCTTTGCAAGTATTCACCCTTACTGTGTTGTCTGGTAAGTATTAGTGTATTAGCTATTGCTTTTTCCGCAGG